CACTCACATGTACAGTAACACACATACACACACTCACACACACACGCTCAACTGCCAGGAGGAGGCTGCTTTAATAAGGCCAAAGCTCCCCGCCAGATCAGCTCTACATAGGGGAGCGAGGGGGAGATGGGGTAAGAATGGAGCATGTGGTGAAGGCGGCGCAGGTAGGTTATAGGTACGGTGTTATGGTGTGAGATGATTTCTACACAAAAAGATCTGATCACACTTAAAGGGTTCATATCACACTGTTTTCTGAGCTGTCACACTGTTGTTTCTTCATGAAAACAGACCTGGAGTTGTGTTTTGTTTCATTCACACATGTTTAACACACAAAATATTCAGATTTAGGCTGAGTTCTTCGCAAACGGAAACACTTGTGATGTCATGTGGTGATACAGGAAGTGCTTCAGTGTGTTTTTAAACTCCATACACCTTCACTAGAATCATTTGGATGATTATGTTTCAGCTTTGGAATTACCCCTCTCTACTGAACTAAAGGTAAAACGTAGCAGAACAGAACAATCTCACTGTCAATAAGAGAGACTCCAACACTTGCCACTTTCAAATCCCACTTGAAACAGCAGCTAAAGGAAAACCAGACTTGTGGACACTTTTAGTTTAGAACTGTCACTTGTTTTTGTTGTTTTTTCTTTGTTAAATTTGTGGTGTTACCTGCCTAGGGACTACAGATGGAAATGAGCATTCTTGCTATAATCTGGCATATTTACACTGCAGTGTTGTAGATGTTCACTAATGTGCACTGTCCCTGTTAAATAAATAAATAAATAAATAAATAACATATAAGGATTTTTTTTTTTCGTATTTCTTGTCCGTGGTTGGAGGTTCAGCTGCATGTCACCATGGAGATATTATTATTTATCATTTTATAATGTTGTCACCTCATCAAAATCTTACGTGGGGTTGTGTTTTGTTTCATTCACACATGTTTGAGTAAACCTTTATTATTAGTCTGTCTGCATCTCCAAAATTCAAAATGCTTAGACTTAGGGTTCCACCTTGTGACGCCATGAAGTTGTAGTTTTCAAGTTAACAACTACCTTTTACATTTTGTTCAGCAGGGATTTCAATTCCAGAGCAATTCCAGTTCTGAAATTGTGCAAATAATTCTCGTGAAGGTGTATGGAGTTTGAAAACACAGTGGAGCACTGCCTGTATCAAAGGTGGGGACTTGAGTCACTATTTTTAGGACTTCAGACTTGACTTGATAAAATGGACTAAGACTTGGGACTCGACTTGGACTTGAAGGTCAGTAATGTGGGACTTGACTCGGACTCAAAGTTCAAAGTGCTCTGTTCCATCTTGTTATGTCATGAAGTGGTCCAGTTAACAGCATTTTCCCTTTTGCTTGGTAGAGATTTGCAAATCCATGGATGGAAATGATTCTAGTGAAAGTGCATGGAGTTTAAAAACACAGTGGACCAGTTGTGGAAAAAAAAAATTATATATATACATACATACATACATACATACATACACACACACACATACATACATCTTGAATAAAAATAATTAATCCATTTGCAAAGCCTGATGAGTTTTTGGAATACAGACCAAGGTTTATTCTTGTTACAGCAGATATGGACAGAGCCTAGGCCTGCCCTGGTTAGGATCTGAGCTCTGAGTATTTATACAGAAATACAAGTTATATACATATCAAAGCAGAGTGACACTTGTTGCACAGGCTGGTGCTCATCAACTTAACATATATTTAAGGACAGGTAAGACAACAAAGGGCTCCCTGAGTGGCGACAGTTTTGTCTGCTGAGCCTTTACACATGTTAATGACTGGTCTGGGTCTCCAGTAGAAATCATATTCATTCACACCAGGAGTCTCCAACCTGTAGCTCGGGAGCTACCAGTAGCTCCCCACCCCATTCCAAGTAACTTGCCAAGGTATTTCTGAATTATATGCACTGTATTTTTCGCACTATAGGGCGCTCTGGATTATAAGGCGCACTGTCATTGAATGGTCTATTTTCAAATTTTTTTCACAAATAATCCGCACCGGACTATAAGGCACATTAAACGAAACACAACAGTTGGATGGGTGAGTGGTTTTGTTTGTTTGTGGCGTTCACGGTGACTCTGTGCTTTGTTCAGTTGTGGCGTGTAGGGAGGGGGCTGTCTGTCGCTGTATTGTCGGCGTGTTCGCAGTGACTCAGTTGTTCAGTTGTGTCTAGAAGTGGCACATTGCACTCGCTTTTTCAGTTCGTTCCTCCATTCCATTCCTCGTCCGTGTGGAGTGATGAGTGTGGGTGCGGGTCGCTGTCTGCTCCGTGTGTGTTTGTGTGCGCTACAGGTGGTGCGGCTTTGTAGTTTACTGAAGTCGTGCTGGGACACCTGATTGGATTCGTGTATAGGCCGCTCTGGATTGTGGCTGAGTGGCTAGCACTCATGCCTCACAGCAAGAAGGTTCTGCGTTCGATCCCCGGGTCGCCCGGGCCTTTCTGTGTGGAGTTTGCATGTTCTCCCCGTGTCTGGATGGGTGTCCTCCGGGCGCGCCGGTTTCCCCCATCAATCCAAAACATGCTGCATAGGTCTCAATACAATACAATACAACAATCAATTATGGTTGGAGGGACAGATGGCGCCGAGTGGCATGGTAGCTGTGCTTCTGTCAGTGTGCCCCAGGGCAGCTGTGGCTACAATAGAAGCTTACCATCACCAGGGTATAGAGTGAATGAATAATGCTGAATGAATAATGCTGAATAAAGTGTAAAGCATCTTTGGGGACAGAAATGTCTGTGAAAGCGCTATATAAATAAAGACTTACTTACTAAATCTATCCACAATGTAAATTTCCATTACAGAGCACTTCCTGTATTACCACATGACATCACAAAGTGGACCAGAGGGTTTTCAATTCATGAAAATCAGCCTAAATCTGCAGGTTTTGTGTGTTAAACTTGATGAATGAAACAAAGCACAACTACGGGTTTGTTTGTGATGAGGAAACATTATAAGTTAGATCATAAAATAGCGTAATATGGACCTTTACATAAAAAAGAACAATATTGCCCTGCATGTACTTTTCCCCTGTATATATCTCTCTGATCCTCAACAGAGACACAGAGAGACAGAGAGGCTCATGGGAGGGCATGCTCGCACAGTACTCTGTCACATCCACACTCTCCCTCTCACCTTCTCTCCTGTAACAAGTGCAGTCATGAGCAGTCCAGGAGATCTATGAACACAGCGCTGCAGGCTGCCAAGGGCCCCTGTGCTGAGGCATCACCTGCTCTGAGTGACTGTGAGAGGAGGAGGAGGGGGAATGAAACACTATCGTCTGAAAAACAGCAAGAGAAGGGTAAAAATTTAAGCGTTTGTCATTGTTTTGTGAACAAGCTGAAGGCACAGAAAAGTTGAAAATTACAGAAGTTTAGCGTGTCATGTATTATCACAGTATTTAAAGGTAACAAAACAGTACAATATGTAAGTACATTATTTAAAAATAGTTCAAACTAGATAGAAATTTAGGCCATGGTGCATTCATGAGTCATAAGTTACACTAATATTTTTAAATGGTTCAAAAATGTTACAGTAAGAAGTTTTAGACACAAATGCAGTCAAGTGATTCTCAGCCTTTTTCATACCTAGTACCACATAACTTAATATTTGGGTTTCTGAGTGCCACCAGATGTAAACCCAGACTTTATGGGGCCAAAATTAGGTCTTACATCTAAAATGATGTCTAAAATGTTACTAAACTAGCTGTAAAGTCAGACTTAATAATGAAGTCACAAATGATGTGATAATTTAAAATCACAATATTCATTTAAAACGACTTAACAAACAAAACCAGTCTGCTGACTTCTGTTAAAACTGCAGTGTCCAGTGGGAGCTGACATCGGCGTACACTTCATCACAACAAAGAGTTGTGAACTTGTTGGCACCTCCTATGGATATCTGCACATCACACTGTTACAGCCACAGGCCTCCAGCTCCTCCTGTGTCCATATCTGTTTAAATCTCTGCTGCTGATCCCCGTGTGTGTCTGTGCGTGCAAGCCTCCATCTCCAGACCCCTGCTGTGATTGGTGGGTTCAATTAAAGCTGGCACCTGGTTCCTCCCTAGCTGACTGGTGGAAAGCTGTAACACCTGGCCAATCCTGGGCCAACACCTGAGCACGAGCCCTATAAAAGGACCTGCCCCCTGCCACTCATGGCTGCTGTTCTGCTGTGGACTGCATGCCACTTTTGTCCTGTCTCTGTTGTTGCTGTGTTGCTCTGGTTAATTTTGTGAACCTAGAGACACTAGTAGACCTTTTGACTTTTGTGATTTTTGAGACTAGTTTTGTGTTTCTGTGATTTGTCATTTTGTATACTCTGTTTTGTTTAGCTTACTTTTAGTTACATGCATTTTTCCTACTCTGTTTAGAGCCTCTGTTTGTTAATTATTGGAAATATCATTCTTTTGTTAGTTTTACCTTTTAAACAATTCCTTTAAATAAATTACAACTTTAGTTTTACCATTTTTATATTGTGGTTATTTGTTCCTTCCCCTGTCCCTAGCAGAGGTGAGTCGTAACAATGCGAGCATTTGTACCCAAATGACAACGCGACACTGTCGAATCCCACCTGAATTCCTGATTTAAAAAATTAAATGAGAGAATGTAGTAATTACAGAGCAGTTGGTGTGTACAAGTGGTGGGCAAAATGTTGTTTGGGAATATGGCATCTTGAAAATAAACAATTAAAGATGCACAAATCACTCCAAATACAACTTCAGATGAGTAAATAGTGAGGGGAAACATCTATACCATGTTCTTTGCAGAATAGGTCTACTTTAATAAATGTGTCTTTAAATAAAACACATGCTCAAATTGCTGTACCTCGGTTTGAGAAACACAGATGTAGACAATGCATAAAGTAAAAAATGCATGTAGTAAAAAATTACAAACTTTTCCTCAATTTCTCTTCAGTAGCAAATCATCTGGACAGTTCTAGCTTTAGAAAATAATTGACACCAAAAACGGTTCATAATTTTAAATAAAACACTTTTACTAACTGAAAACATTACAAAACATGAACAATACTGAATCATACAAAACATATACTGTATTTATTACGAAAAAACAAATTCATGGTCCCAAACTATTGCGAAAATCATAAAGTAAACTAAAGCTGCATTTTATCGCTCAAGCAGACAAGTATCTATCTAATCTATCTAATCTTTCAACACAAACTAGTAGCTTAGACATCTATTCTATCACAGTTCTATTTGAAGCAACGTGCAAACTAACAACTCAAACTAGCAGCAAGAGAACACAAATCAGTTCAGCACAATAAGCAGGGAAGTCAACAGGGGTAGACAAAGGGGTCTAATTGTCCCAGGCCCCAGAATCTCCAAAAAATTGGAACCTCTGCCTATTTATTATTATTAGAGAAGGGCCATGTGAGTCTTCTTGCCCCGGGCCCCTCAAATTTCTGTCGACGGGCCTGACAATAAGCACAGAACATAAGCAGTCCAAGCAGTGACAGGAGTAAACAATGAAAACATGCTTTGTCACGCTGTTTAAAAATAGCCGTAAACAAATTGGACTTAAATTCTCGTCAATTGTTCGCTGTATTGATATTAGGGACCGAAATAAAATCCATAAACAACGTTATATTGTCATTCTAATTGCTCATTCAGGGACACATTCAATACTGTCTGTAAACATCAAAATCTGTTACGGACAAAAACATCCTTAACTGGTACCTTTGGTTGAATATATTTGCTAAAAGTTTTAAATTGCAGGTATAATTTCTGTTTCAATGCGGTTTATCTGAAATGCATTGTGTTTAAAGGTTCTATATTACACAAAATGGATTCTTGTGAGCTTTAAGGCCTGTTATAATGTTGTTTCCTTCATAAATACACCATCGTAATAGTCCAAAGAGGTTCATTTGGTCTTCTGATATTTTATGTTATTAGGTTCTTTTTTCAGACCAACAGTTTGTTTATGTTACGCGGCTCCGTGCAGGTATGAAAAACTAACTCTTCGTCTGAAAAAATAACCTAATAACGTAACACAACATCCTGTTTTGAGTAATCCTTCATTATTAGTCTGTCTGCATCTCCGAATCTCAAAATACTCTTAAGTTAACAACTACCTTTTACTTTTAGTTCAATAGAAACAAGCAAATCCAGTGCAGAAATGATCCAAATGATTCTACTGAAAGGGAGCTTAAAAACATACTGGAGCACTTCCTGTTTTACATGACATCACAAGGTTGAACAGTATTTTCCATTTAATAAAAGAACTGAGCCTAAATTTGCAGGGTTTGTCTGTTAAACATAAGTCCGGGTATGTCTTTGATGGAAACAACATTATAATTTAGATCAGAAAATACCATAATATCGGCCTTTTAATTACGTTCAGTGGATTTGTTGTTATATGCATAGATTCAGCCAGAGTTGTAGTAAACATTTTAAATTAAATAACCCATGAATGACATATCTTACTGCACAACAGCTTTGTGCAGTACAGTAGTGCATGTCCCCCTCTAGTGGACCAGGACGCAAAATTTGTAGGCAGCATAATTATTGCATAGACTCCATTGTACAGGAAATCTCTTAAAACTTTACATTAAAAGGGTATGGTACTTAAGGCATGTAAAAATAGTCTGATTCTAGTAATTTATGGGTCAGAACTGATTGATTTTACAGTTACTCCATGGTTATAAATGTCAAAGCGTAACAAGGGCAACTACTTTTTGACTTTTTTTTTTAAACCTTGGACTATGCGTAAAAACTAATCAGATTGAAATGGAAATGGAAAATGTTTAAGCTAGTAATACTCAGTAAAACTCAATTTAAATACAACTTTCTGGGGCTCAAAATTGGCTGCCCACCCCCAGGTTAAGGAAGTACATTTACATTCATTTTTCTTTTCAAAAACAATTTATACTTACACGTTTGAAAGCTTGCTGAGGAATAATCAGCTCTGTGGTAACTACTGACCAAAAGATCTATAATTTTATTTTAAATTTTGTTTCTGAAACATTATAAACCTCCAAGTTATTAAAGCATTTGGCGGAATCTTGCATCTTGAATGTACCTTTTGGACTTAAAGCAACTGTTATGTATCACTACAAAACAGCTTGGCCAAAATTTAAAATATAAACACTTAAATCTATTAAAAAATGACTTAAAAGTAGTGAAATATATATCCATGCAGCTAGATCATTTTACTTGACAAGTTATCTTAAAATAAACTACCTCTAGACTAGAATTAAGCATCTCAGAACTAGTAAGTAGCTAATAATTCTCAAAACAAAATGAATAACCTGATATAAGTTTTACAATCTTGGCCAGATCAGAGAAATTTGCAGTGTAGTAGTCACCACGTAGCTGGTTAACCATCACAAAAGGCCATCATTGTTCAATCCACACATTACAAAAATAAAAATCTCATATGTAAACAACATCTAGCTCGCCATTTAGCTCAATTGAAATAATTCTTTCCCTTTTTTCTTTTAGTTAATGCTGTAAAACAACTGACAGTGTGCAAGGGTCAATCTGTAACAGTATTACAGTATATGGCAAAATACAATTAAGTATAAATGAGTAACAATAAACAAAAAATTATTAAAAGCATAAAAGCATAGGTGAACTTTAAATGGCCAGTACCTGATTTTAACTCAGTGTCAAAATAAATGCTCTTAACATCACGCAATATACAATAAAAGCTGCTAAATTTAAAAAAGAGAGAGAGAAATTGTAATATACTGTATAAACTATTCATTTTATGTAGCATTTCTCATGTAACAGCCAACTGCCTAACACCATCTCAGACACTTAACTCTCATTCATTGTGCTTTTTCAAGTGTAGCAAAAGCAAATAGTAGCAGAGATTGGAAAAATATTATGAAACAACTGTATGGCTATATCAGAGAGTTGTTTCTGGGTCATGGTGCAATATCACAGAAGACAGCAGAAAGAACAAAGTGGGCGGGGCTAAAAGTTCAAACTAAAACATGTTACTGACTCACTGAAATCAGGTACAGGCCCTTTAAACCACTTTTAAGAACGACTCCTGTATCATCTCCTCCACCTCCTCCACCATCTCCCCATAGTCTGCCTCACAGCTCCTCTGCTGCAGCCCGCTCCCCTTTTCCAGGCACTTCATCAGCTCCATGTGCATCTCTGGTTCTCTCGCCACCCCACTCAGCCGCTTCAGCTGCTCCGCCGGCTTTTCTGGAACGCTCGAAATTCCCAGGGCCTTGAACACAGCGGGTGCAAACTTCCCATAGTGCGCCGTGGAGCTGATGACCAAGGGGCACGAACCATCTTGCAACCTGTCACCGACCACTTTAGCCACAGCGGTGTGAGTGTCCATTAAGTAGCCAGTCTTCTCGTAAACGCCGCGGATAGCTTCCAAGCATTCGTTTTCAGAGCAGCTACCGGCTGATATCTCTTCCTGAATCTTACCAAGAAGATTTCCCGACACGCTAAAGTGCTGCTGTCGATCTAAAGATGTGAACAACTCCTTGACAAGATGGCCGTCTCCGTCGGACATGTGGTAGATGAATCTTTCAAGGTTGGAGGATTTCAAGATATCTATAGCGGGGGAGATAGAGGGTAAGAGAGGACGATCGTGGAGGCTGTAGGATCCAGTTGTGATGAAGTCGGTGATAACACGGTTGTGGTTGGAGGCACAGATGATTTTTCGGATGGGCAGGCCCATGCTCTTGGCGTATACGGCAGATATTGCGTTGCCGAAGTTGCCCGTGGGGATGCACACATCCACGGGATCACCAAAGCTGATGGCGCCCCCGCGGCAAAGGTCCAGATAGGAGGAGGTGTGGTAGACGACCTGCAAGAGGGCACACATATGTTGAAAAAATAAAAGACATGTCTGAGTAGCGCAGGAAGATTAAATTTTACTGATAAAGTTCTTCATAAAACTGACATCATTTATTTATTTTTTTGACCAGATTATGTTTAAGTAAGATGTTGATAAAACTGTGTAGGTGATAAGTACGCAATTCATTCAAGTTAAAGGTGCATGATGTAACTTTAGGTTACTTTATGATCCCCATAATCTATCTTGGTGTCGCGTATTACTTATTCAATTTTATTTATTTTTTTTATAAAATAATACCTTGAAAAACATTTTTACTGTGAGTGGGGCCACCTCTCCAAAGATCTGACCTGTAAATAGGCCTGTCATGATAATTACTACATCAGTATATGAAAACTGGAATAATAATTCTTTGGGCTCAATATTTACCAAGGGGAAAATTTCTTTGAAAAAATGGGTAGATCTTTGATATTTTTGTTGTAATATGATCATATTTGAGCTGTAGAGGGTTGAATAAGTGACTTCTATGGCTTTTAAAAGATGATCCACTGGGACTGGCCTGCTTTTGTGTCAATGGCATAAAGTAGTTTCAGTATTATCATTTATCGCAGTATTTCTCTGTAGCAATATATATTGCATTAAAATTTTTATCATGATAGACCTGCCTGTAACTGACATCACCTGATTATCTCTATGGAGTTAGACAAGTTTAATGTCATCCTTTAGAAAGTTGTCGGCAAAGTCATCTCTATGGAGAGAGGCAGATGGTACCCCGATGCACATCTAAGTCTCACCCACCTGTGGCAGTAGCCGTGCCCAGTTGATGGAGTTGGCCGTACTGAGGAGCGTCCCATACTCCACAGCCAGGTGTCCAGTGAACTCTGGTGTCCCGAACATCTGCTTTATGCTCCTCTGGCAGAAGTCAAAGTCTGCACCCACACTGACCGCTCGCACGTTCCCCTCCCACGCTGCCGTCATCTGCCTCTTCTGGATTTCACTCACCCCATCCCCAGGGAAAAACACCAGCACTCCTGTTTTATGTTTATAGACATCCTTCAAGGCATTAAACCCACTCAACACTGCGCTTCCTGTATCTCCAGAAGTAGCCACCAAGACTAGGAAATTACACATGGGAGGAAGGCAGTGCGCAAACAGCTGGGGCATCAGTTGTAATGCCAGATCTTTGAACGACGCTGTGGGACCGTGGAATAACTCCTGGACGAACTGATTGTCCATTAAATGTCTAACTGGGGCTACATCTTCACTTGCAAAATTTGACCCATATGCCTTCATCACCATCGTTTTCAAATGTGGTCCAGAAACATCACGTGGGTGTATGCACTTTTCCAGCAAAATAAAAGTGCGTTCCTGGTACGGCTTGTCTATTAACCGTACCCACTCGTTCGCTTCCAGTTTCGGGAAGCCATTCTGTGGCACATAGAGGCCGCCATCTTTGGCCAAACCGTCCACGACAACATCACTGAAATATACACTCTTGGATGTATCATTGCTTCGTGTTGAAATAAACTTATCTGGATTGTTATACCACTCCAAAGCATTTAAAACCTTGTTGGCGATGTCCATAACCGTCTCACCTCTTCCACACAGCACACGAATGTCGAACCATTTTTCATAAAACTGTTTTCTATAGCGTAATATATTCTTCATCGGCACTCCTGCTTCCTGGCCGACTACTCTGTTAACTTTCATCCTCGCGAGTCTGTGAATGATGTCCTCTGCGTCAACATCTAAGTAAACTACGATGCCACTTCTCTTGATGTGTTGCATTGCCAAAGTGTCGAGGGGATTGGAACCACTAAGAGAAATTACACTCCCAGAAGTAGAGAAATTGCACAAAGCTTTACCCTCCTCTTCAAGAAATCTCTGCCCTCCAACAGATGCTAGTTTGGCGGCTACGGGCATATTCCAGGTCGGTTCGAGTATGTCATCGTCAACGTCAACAGCAGGGAGTCCGAGTTTGTGAGCGAGTATTCGGCCCACAGTAGTTTTGCCGGCTCCAGGAGGGCCCATGAGCAAGATGTTTTTGTCCCCCAGAAGAGAGTCTCTCTTTGGGGTGCTGGTGGAGAGGTATAGCCGGCGGATAAAGTGGAGCCTTGGAGGGGCATGGACAAGGCGTTGAAATGCACAACGCAGCATGGTGATAGAGTGGAGCAGCAGACTCTCCTGTAAAAAGAAAGATAGTTTTAGTAGAGAATTGAGAGTATAATGGTAATATGCATGATGATTACAGGTAATTATGCAAAATTATATCGAGATGTTATTGCTTATCTTGGAATGTTCCACAGTATGGCATTGAACTTGCCTATCTTGTACTTACTCAACTGCAGATATATATTTTTTTATGGAAAAAACAAACATTGGAAACCATGCGCGCTTATGGTGAGCTAGTTCGCCTCTCTACTGATCTGGCCTGTAAATTGACCTTGTGGTGTCAATTGTCTCCTTACTTGAACATAGATAACTTTAATGCCATACCGTGGAACAGGGCAAAACAATGCCATCACCATGTAGTTACATGGTGCATCTTTAACTGTAACTGTATCACAATACTACACCTCTTCTGTATTTCTTCACGCTATTACTTTAAAACAAATCATTATTATAGAGTGCATAAACCATAGTGTTTTGTTTTCCCTACCTTAGGGTGACAAGATTTTCAAACTCAAAAACTGGGACACCTTCATTTTAGGGTGGTTGGTAATAATAAAATTGTGAAATTAGTGCATAATAAAGGAACTGCATTTGGCCCATTCATGACTAACATACGAGCCAGTATAGTTACATTTTATTTGACTTTTGAGTCATTGTTAAGTATCCTTTTCTGTATTTTACTTAAATAAATGACAATTTATGCCTCTTTTTTACTGTTGGCAGGGATCAAATTGGTCAAAAAATGGACACCTGGGACATTTCTTGTACAAAACTGGGACAAATCACAGGTTTTGGATAAATCTGCTGGGACAGGGGACACAGCTGCTCAAAACTGGGACTGCCCCGGGTAAATAGGGACGTCTGGTCACCCTTCCCTACCCGTAAATAGGCGAAGATGAAGTGATTGTGTTTTAGCAGCCTTTCTAGCTTAATACAAAATATTATATATATAAAATAAACATACACACATATAATAACATATTATTAGCCCTGCATTACAAGCTGTTGTTCAGAGTTGGGTAAAGTAATCTATTGGTCTTAAAAAGCCCGAACATAATAACAAAAGGTACAACTACGGTAACGTCGTCAAGATCAGGACGAAGCATAACTAAGTCACATTTTCTTCTTATATCCAATGACCCATGCTGTGTTTTAGACATTAAGTATTAAACTTTAACCTAAGCCAATGGAGTTTAGATCATGTTAGAACAGCGTGCGGTTAAATTTTACCTGAAAATCGTAATCGCGCTAAAACTTTTCAACAAATGGCTAGTTTTGCAAAGATTTGGCAGCCCACGCAGCAGGCACACATGAGCGGAAGACATTAGCATGTAAACAACTACGGAATGCCCAGAGGGACAAACATGATACATACGCTAACTTTTTCATATATGTATTTATATTCTTTCTTTAAAAAAATTTTTTTTTTGCTATTATCACTATTATTACATTGGGTTATAAATAATTATGTTTATTGTTTTTTTTCTTACATCCAATAAATAAGCAAAACAGTAAAACAGTCTTTTTCGGTATTCACTAAACAATGTATGTAAATATGCCCATTTGTTTTACATAGCATTTCTTTGTTTCAGTTTTCTATTTCTTTTTTCTTTTTTCTTTTTTATATATATATTTATTTTATCACACATAAGTCGAGGTGATATATTTCCCGACTGTCCGCAAACGCGGCCGTGGCTCTCGCTGTTGCTAGGTAACGGACAGACGTGTCATCAAACGAGTCCCCGGAGCATTTTCACCCGCGCGGTCAAATAAAAAACTCATTTTCCAAAGTGCATTTTGTGATCGTCCAACATGTCCACTCATGTTTACCGTCCTCAAGAAAGAGTCTACGACCTTCTGTCCAAGGAAGAGGTCAAATCTGAGAGACCTCCCAGGTAAAGAGTAAAAAGAGCTGCTAATAAACTAGTTTTTATGGTTGTTTATTGCTAAAGCTAGCTATTGTCAAATTCTCAAACGACAGAACAGTAAATAACTTTGCTTTTTTGCATTTTTCAAAGGTATGTGTCCAAGTTCAGGCCAGCAGTGATCCAAGAAGAGAAGCTTCCCAAGAGACCTATGAGGACGATGGGCCCCGCTAAAGTAGAGGCTCCCTCTCCAGAGAATTTCCTCAAGAAACACTCAAAAGAGCCGAAACTACCAGACAGTAAGCTGATTTCACAACAGAAACACATTCCGTCTCTGTGGGGTGGAGTTTACTCTGAAACTGTAGTAGCAGAAACTCCGCTCAAGTTTTGCTCCTGATGTTGATTCAAAATAGGCTTTTTATTTATAAATGTTTTATGATAATTCATCTGATGAAAAAAGATATCAAGCTTGTTGGCATTTGGAAATCTATAACTCTTGTATTTCTTGTCAAATCAATCATTCTGGATAGAATTAAGTTTATATACCAAACAAAAGACTTCATTTGATCATATTTTAGTCATTTTTAATGGATTCTGCTTGGACTTTATAAAAACTGTGATGGGAAGAATACTTTGAAAATGTATTTAGTTACAGAATACTGCATACCTGCATTAAAATGTATTTTAGAACGAATAGTTGGGATACTTTTACATTGAGCTGCATTATATTAGTGTAAAAAACATGGCATATAATTACAGACTACTTTTTGTTGTTATGTATTCATTTATGCTTATTATGAGACGCTAAATCACACATGCACATATTACAGGAGCTGTGTTTTTTTTTCTTACTAATATCGTGCAGATCAAAGACAAAATTGCATAATGAAGTACCACCATCAATTCCTTTTAATTTAGGAAAGTAACTGTTCTGAACACTTCCAAATACCAAAAAGCAGAATACAGTTACTTAAAATGAGTATTCAGATTATGTATTTTCAGTGTATGTATTAAGTTGTATAACAAGTGAGTCTATAAAATCTTATTTTCAAATATATTCAACTTTCAAATGGGAATTTTAAGACCCAACAAAAGCCCATTCTGCTAAAAAAGTGTGATCTGAAATCTGATTTTCCTCTATGCGTAATTACACTGTATGTGTTATCACTTATAATCTGAGTAGATCAGACAGAAAAACTACAGTCTCAGCTTCACAAAGGGTTCAGACATAGATTCCGTTTGAATTGGGGATAATATTAGCAGTAGTCAGGGGGAATATTAGTCAGGCATTTTAGGACATTTTAGGACACTGGAATGATTTTACTGGGATCCAGAATACTCACTTCTTCAGTACTTTGAGAATGCTGATATCCCCCTGACTCATATCAGTCTGTCTGATCATAGAGAGAGATCTCATTCAAGATTTGCCAGGCAATGGAATGATAAGCATCACAGAAATAAAGATAGAGAAAATAGACAAATCCCTGTTTGTGCTGTTATGCAGCGTTTGTGTGTTTTAATGAACAAGCAATATTAATATTATACTGGGCATAGAGTTTCACAGTGTTAATTTGAATGTGTTTTGACATAATTCTAGAGGTAAAAGAAGGCCGTATCAACCCTCTGAGGAAGCCTCCTGTTCCCACGCACACAGAAATCCCTCCGATGGGCATCCAGACCAAACGAGACTTCATAAAGACCTGCACTTTTGTAACTACCAAACCCAAGCCCATCAGCGTAGACACCCACAAGGGCCACAGGGAGGAGCTGGAGAACTCCGGTCGGGTCCCCAAGTACATTAAAAAGACGGTATTTACACATTTTTGTGGATCAATTAAAGTGCTTATGACTAGGTTAGACTTACAATTTGACTAAAATCTAAAATTTAACATAATTATATAGACGATTTTTTGAAGAAACATTTTGGTATAGTTGGACATGGGCAGTAGATGTGACATACGTAGAGGTCATTCCATTGTTGTTTCCTAGCAACTATGTTGTAAACAACGACCATAGCTTGTTTATTTTACTCAACAGTTATGATTTTGCAAATATTAACTGAAGAGAACAACTTTATTTTGTTAGATTCTTGTTTAATTTGTCAAAAAGAATATGAGTGGTCGCCTCTTCACAGATCTGACATGTAACTTGGCCTGGTAGCATCATTTGCTTGGATAAGTTTAATACCCTATTGTGGAATATTATTGGCATTTTCAAATTGTACTTTCTCAAATTTTCTTCACAAACTGCCACTTAATTGATGTAAAACTAGGCTAAATATTGACCACGTGTACTATCTCACTAAACCACCAAAGTCATAATTAGAAAATCATGAAAACGTGTCATATGAAATTTAAGGTGTACAAATGGTGGTGTCAGAACATTATTTTGTCATTTTCTGCACAGGATTTTGGTAAAGTCCCGGCGTATCTCCAGCACCGTAACACAGAGAAGCAGAAGGCTCAGGAGCTTTATGACAACTACGTGAAAGAGCAGAGAGAGAAGCAGGCCATGAAGCAGCTGTCTGAGGAGGAGAGGAGGGACATTCTCGAGGTACACAGACAGGCACAAAACATCACAACACAGCCTTTTCTTTAGATTTCCTATTCAGTTGCAGTACATTTGCAGCAATATGGCGTTTAGTAAAATGTTTGTCAGCTGTGGCCTACTTAGTTTAGAATTTGCCCAACTCCAGAAAGGTATTTGGTTCCTAACTCACATTACCACTGTGTGCCTGGGCAAGACACTTTGACCATATTACACTGCTGACTGGTCACTCTGTGAGGGAGTGGTTGGTACAAGTGGTTGGTATAAGAACCTAAATACAGATACAGAGAATAAAGCAATTTGAGCTAGAAAATGACACTTGTATGTGCTGATAAAGTGAGTATATCAAAAAAGAGTGTTATCATGATTGCCAGGACCAAGGAGGATCAAAAATTAAGCTTCCCCTCTTTTTATTTAAATCATAATCAGCTGACTAATGCAACAAAAACAAAATACTTCGGCCATATTATTAGAAATTACTCCTGTGATCCTGAGATGATGATAACATCCAGCGTCAGTGTTGCAAACTGTATGCTGGCACATCAATTCCATATGTGTACAAATTATGTCAAAATGACTCGTTTCAGATCATACTGTACTCCACTGTATACAGCTCATCTATGGTGTAATTACAGCAAAGCAAAGATGAATAAGATTAAGGTGACATATAATGATGCTCTCAGAATACGTTGAAAGACTCCAGGGTGGGAAAGAGCTAGTGCTTTGTTTGTGACTGCAAATATTCACACGTTCCAGGCTCTAATGAAGAACCTCATGTATAAATGTATGTGTTGATTAAATGAATCAAGACATTGAATTATAATATGCTTGACTGATATTAAGGAAAGTAAAACCCAATATTTTTCTGACAACTGGAAATGTTGGAAGAGCCAGCTGTATGTATTTTAATTCTACCAAACCTTACATCACTGTATTTATTTTTTTTTAAATATGTGTTTGTCTGTGTATGTGTGTGTTTGTGCTGGTGAGTTTATATATGAATATAATATATTATAAGTGTATGTCCATGTATGTCCAATTTGGACCCTGAGTCTGTAAAATAAGTAAAGTAAAGTTATATATTTAGGCCTAGCAGATTCTTTTCAAAAAATAGACATAGTAGTACCAGCAGTAGTAGTAATAATATACAGAGGTTTCTCCATCAGAGGTGTTAATCTGTGGAATAGTCTCGATGAAACTTTAAAAGGCTCTAAAACAATTTACACATTTGAAAAAATATATATGACTAAAATTATAGAGAAATATAGAGAAATACAATAAATCATATTTACTCCATCAAACCTGCAGATTAACTTTAACCCCCAATTATATTTATATATTTAAGTGTATAATATAAACCAACAGGTATAAAAATTAACATGTACAGGGAGAATGTGTGTGTGTATGAACATTAACATATATTGGATTGTGTTCTGTATTGTGTAAGTGTATACTATAACATTTAGGACATTTTCTTTCCTGCTCTCATAAAAGAGGATTTTTTTGTTGTTGTTTTCTGTAAATAGTTCTGCCATCTTGTATCCTATTCTATATGTTAATAGGGTTTGGCAAAACAAGTGTTAAACTTCAGCCTAAACCCCTTCGGTCTACAGAATAACTTTATTTATATGCATTAACTGCATAATTATTATTTTTTTGTTTTTTGTTTTGTTTTGTTAAATCATTGTTATATGATGCATGATTATGATAACTGACCGAAGAAAATAAACTACTACTACTACAGGAATCAATAGAAGAAAAATAGAATGTAGGACCTATATTCTTTTATTATTATCAATTGCAGATACAGTGTTAGTAGTTGATTTAAAGCAACAGTGTGTAACTTTCTGGAGGTGGCACATCAGTATAGAAACAGAAAGTTAAAACCCTACTTTGGAACATTTTTCATAGACATATAAGTTTTATGCCATATTGTGGAATATTATAGTCAAAGAAACAACATTTCCACGGAAACAAGGAGAAGGAGGCTTTGTTTCAAGCCTAATAAAAGTAAAGTTTGTGCCGCTTACAAGGATACGTTTTTCACAATAAGTTTTACAAAGTTTTCCATTGCAATAAAGACAACCAAAATACAAAAAAAAAGTACTTTTATTAGTGTAGTTTCCCAGTGGGACTTTAATTCCAGTCCAATCCAACTTTATTTCTATTACACTTTTAAAACAACACAGTTATCCAGAGCGCACCACACAACAATAATAATTAAAGTCAGTAAATTAAACACAATGAAATCTAGCTGTAGAATTAGCATTTTTTCTTACCCAGAACTTAAATGCAATTACCATCTCACTTAACTATCAGTGGTGATGACTGCACATTTGCAAACCTGCTGTGTCATTTTTTTACAGGGCCTGAAGAAGAACTGGGACCGGATCCATCACGAGTACCAGGGCCTGTCCGTGGTCATCGACACATGGTCCAAACGGGCCCACAAGGAGCGCCTGGAGGCCGACATGAAGCATCTGGAGAAGAAAATAGAGATGTTTGAGAGGTTTAAAGTCATCTACATCTCTGAAAACTAGAACTATCAGATGCTTCTGCACAGAGAACAGGAGAATAAAGACAATGCTTTAACAGCTTTAACGACTTCATCATTTAATTTTTTAATCAATTCAATTACCACAAAAAGGTAGCTGAATATTACCTCGGGAGTTTCATTAATAATTCGGCATAATAATAAATGTGATTGTGGTAACTCCTAATTGGATAGTTTTTGTATATGCTTTTATATTATTGGAAATTACTAAATTATAATTGTGTCCCTACATTTTGAATCTACAATCTGGTAAAATATCACGAATTATGAATAAATATCAGTGTTTACTATTTCATTTCTTGCCTACTGACCTAGGATAATTACCTAAATGGCAAATACTGAATGATATCTCTCTGTAGTTTTATAGAGTGATATCAGTCTGGTCTCCACTTCCTCCGTCACGTCTCAGACCCGGACAAAGCAGGTCGATCATCCAATCAGATTTTTTTTTTTTTTCAGTGACACATCTGAAACAAAAAAGCTCAGTGGTCACATGTCATTTAGAACAAAATTAAATTTCTCTCACCTCAGAAATCCGCAATGTTTTTCAGCCGCCTGTGATGTCAGCAACATTCCCTGGGGGTTTTATGCTAACTAGAGGCACTGCTCTGTGTGCAGCTCAGTGTTACTACTTTATTTTAACACAGTTTGAGCATAAAGGAACTACAAGAGGTGAACTTTGGTTATGGGATGATGAGCACTTATTAATCACAGATTCCAGGAAATGTATTGTTAAAATCTATTCCATCCATCCATCCATTTTCTTCCGCTTATCCGGGGCCAGGTCGCGGCGGCAGCAGTCTAAGCAGGGACTCTCAGACTTCCTTCACCCCAGACACTTCCTCCAGCTCCTCCAAGGGAACCCCGAGGCGTTCCCAGGCCAGCCGAGAGACATAGTCCCTCCAGTGTGTCCTGGGTTTTCCCCGGGGCCTCCTCCCGGTGGGACATGCCCGGAACACTTCCCGAGGGAGGTGCCCAGGACGCATCAGAACAGATCCCTGAGCCACCTCAACTGGCTCTTCCTAACGTGGAGGAGCAGCAGCTCTACTCCGAGCTCCTGTGTTACTGAGCTCCTCACCCTATCTCTAAGGGAGCGCCCAGCCACCCTGCGAAGGAAACTCATTTCAACTGCTTGTATCCACCATCTTGTCCTTTCAGTCAGTACCTAAAGCTTCATATGACCATAGGTGGGGCCATCCTCCCGTGGACCCACCACCCACGGTAGAATCCATATCCACAGAGAGATCTGGGTGGCAGTTGAAGGTGGGGGCCTCGGACAATGGATCTCCGGACAATGTTTTGTTTTGTTTTTTTGGGCAGTTTTTGCTAATGTGGGTATGGTCTTGTACTGAAATGCCTTCCTCCTCCTCCTCTTCCTCCTCCTCTTCCTTCATCTAGGGGCCTGTGCAGTGGCCACAGGAAGCCAGCATCACATGAAGCTGATTAGTTGTAATTCGCTGTGACTGAAACAGCTCTGTGCTGTTGTCCAAATGACTGCAGTGTGATCCTACGCTCTATCTGCTACAACTGTGTGTTTTTGCTTTGCTTTTATCGCACTTGAGGAAAATAAGATGGAAAACGGAGGGGTCAAAAGAGGTATTGTGGTAAGTTGAATTAAAAGTTATTTTCAACTCAATAGTACTCAGATATCATGTTGGGTCAAGCTTTACTGAGCAATGTATTTGTGATATGGGAATAGTATTAGTATCTGTAGTAATGGTAGTAGTAAAAGTAGCAAACTAGGTGTTTTAGTGACAATTGGAGGAGCACGACAGGCCAAGTAGTAGTACACGCAGTAGTAATAATGGTAATATAGTAACAATAATGACATGAGTAGAAATGAATATTAAAAGTGCATGACTTTTCTGGTGGAGGGTTTGCTACAAGCTTGTCTCCATAGAGATGCTGTAGCTTTTCCTGGAATGTTACACTGTAAGGCATTAAAAGTATCTATCTCCATGGAGACTAAATTGAAGGTCATGTTTGAGGAGAGAGGACCCTGTTCAAGAATTCATGTTTTTCAATTTACAATTTGCTATACTTGAGTAAATACTATACCTGAGTAAATATAAATGATATAAATGCAGATATAAGCACTTCATGTCATACTATGACTTACTATTATTACTACTACTACTACTACTACTATTGTCATACTTTTTTAGCATCACTTTCACTTCGTAGAAACCCTCTGACGTCGCAGTGTTAGAATTCGTTCTCTTGAGGGTAGGCAGATACTTTTTTTCATTTAACCAACTGTCAAACCTAATGGGGCTAACTGGTATATTAAGCTTTTCCCAAATCCCATAGGAAGAAGGGCAATAATGTCTTTCCTCTTGAAAAACTCACCAAACATTCTCTTTATTCCGGCTTTAAATCCTCAATCTCAGGAATCATTCACAACACAGAATATATGGCTCTTCAGTGATTGGCTGGTGCCCGAACTCACACCTCCGGGGTTTTTGCAAACCGTCTAGTGTATTCCGATTCCTGACCTAGTCGCTGGAGAGAAATGAAATTGAGATTTGATATTGAAACTTTTTTGCCATAGAACAAAATTTTCATTTTTTTTAGATAAAGGATGAGTGGCCTGGATACAGTCTGGATCTTTTCACATACCCGGAGCACTACCACGAAGATATAGAAAATGTCTACATCCCACATGGGGTCATCATGAACAGGTAGACTGACATTTTCATGATTTCAATTTCACCTAATACATAATACCCGTTTCATGTGTTTCTGTTGTGTAGAATAGAGCGTCTGGCCCACTACATCATGGAGGACTTCTGGGACAATAATATCATGGTGCTGTGTGTGCTGAAGGGAGGCTACAAGTTCTGTGCAGACCTGGTGGAGTTCATCAAGATCCTGGGACGCAACTCCAACAAGTATCTGGAGACACGCGTGGAGTTCATACGCTACAAGAGTTACCTGGTACACACACTTTAACATTACACTACAAGACTTACCTGGTACAGGTACTTTAACATTACAATACAGGTACTTTAACATTACAATACAAGAGTTACCTGGTACACGCACTTTAACATTACAATACAAGTGTTACCTGGTACACGCACTTTAACATTACAATACAAGAGTTACCTGGTACACGCACTTTAACATTACAATACAAGAGTTACCTGGTACACGCACTTTAACATTACAATACAAGAGTTACCTGGTACACGCACTTTAACATTACAATACAAGAGTTACCTGGTACATGTAGTCTCTGTAAAAAGTACAAGAAAGTAAGTTGAAGATAAGCAATAACATGCAGATAGAGGACACTTCCAAGTTTGTCTCATTCTTAATATATGGACAGAAAATTCCTCATGTGAAAGCTCAGAACCTTCAGAATTCCCTCCCTGAGCTGCAGAGGCTGCACTAGCACTGATTCATGACTGGCTGCATGTTCTGGAGTTTAGGTGGTGACCATTCAGATCAGAGAGATGCATTTTAGGTTTATTTCCCACTGAGAGATTCATATGAGTCTCATTCTGCTTTCAAATTGGATAATCGTCTCGAAACCCAAAACACCAAATTATAACTTGTTTATGAAATTTGAACTATAAATTCTACATCCTATTCCTTTCATCTGCTTTGTTTGTGTGAATGAATATTACACTGGATGCTTTGAGGAACTGCAATTTAAATTCTGGTCAACAATATTTCTGTCTTTTTAAATGATCCCAAAACAAACCATAAAATTTTAAAAACACACTACTCCAAAAGAAATATCTTGCCTCCAGGTCAGTCAAATTAAATTCTTAGAAAACATAGGCCTATTTTTAACACAACATAGAAGAAGTAGTTTTTTCAACATGGGTTTTCACAAAGTACAAAAGAATCCAGATAATTAATTTAGTATTTATTCTAGGTATGTTGAAACAGTTTTGAAGTTAAAGAGGAGGTATTACACTTCTATGGAGTATTCATTGCTAACACATATTTAGATCACCATCGCATTCCATCAGGTTTGTGAAGTTGTAGTATATTGTACCATGCTTTTGTACAGTAAATCTATTTAAAATTGCTGTGTGGGAACATGAGTGACATAGGCTTGTGAATAGGGCCTGGAAGAGATCTCTAGATTACTCAAACATACATGCAAAACCTCCTCAGACATATAAATTTCCTCTGAGTCACATTTAACTAACCCTTCTCCTTCTCCTCCTACACCTTGGCCTGTAGATGTCACTGTTGTCCACTCTAAACTCACTTACAGACAGGACATTTCAAGGACAACTTCACTCTTACAGCAGACATTTGACAACTTACTCGAGCTCTGTGTGATGAAAACACTGCAATAATTAAAACAAGACATGCTCATAATACGTGACACCTGGAATGGATAACTGGACCGTTACGTCTGAGAAATGTCATAGAGTTTTTATTTAAATGTGTGATATCTGAGCCCTTGCTGAAACCCCTGCGTGTGGCTCATTCTTTGTATCCCTGGACAACAAAGGGGAGGATCAGCCTTCATTTTTTGGCAATAAAACAATGACGCTATTGTTTTTTGGGGCTGTTGCGTTAAATGAAATGTCCAAACCACTGAGGATTTTATGAAAGCAAAGAGTGTCAGTGCGAAACTCTGCAAAATATGAAGAAAACGTCCAGTGAAAGGATTTGGTAATAACGAAGTGGATACTCTAGGTTGGGTTTGTAGATGTTTTTTTTAACAGTGTGAGGGAGGAAACATAAACCTGACTCAGAAGCCATCATTTACTGACACAACTGTACAAACAATTGTCATTTCCAATATTCTTCCAATGCACATTTGTCCAAACCTGAATTCATTGAAGTGGTTAATGCAAGACTAGTAAAAAAGGCTGTGATTACAAGTTGTGCTGATAAAGTCAAGTTGTCAGACAGAAGTAACGTAGACAGCATCCAGAGTTGCACATTTTGGAACCGAAAAAGTGATGAATCAGTGACACTAATGGTGTTATGTTGTTGTGTTCTGTTTATATTGCACATTTGGTGCTCCACACACGGAGGTGATAAGCTGCTTTTGGGGCAGACTGATTAGCCCCTCTGACCTCAACCAATCAAGTGTTTTGCTCAATGGCACAACGGCAGCATGGGTTCATAGGC